GGAATCTACTCCCCAGGCTTTAGGCAGCACTGCGTTGAAACCAATCTAGACTTCCAGAAAAGATCATTTGACCACCTTCTCTCGAATTTGAATACCAGCTAAAGTATCCTAAAACTATTTTCTTTTATTCTATGTTGACTGAAGAGAACTATTTTCTTATTTGAAAAAATCACATTAAAACTGCATTTTAAGGTTAATTGGCAATACTAATAAGAGGCAGACATAGGCCTCAAATGAGAGGTGGTAATAAAGAACTTGAAATGTTTGGAAACATATTATCTATATTTAATAAAACCCCCTCAGTGAGTGAAAACTGGTTTGATTACTGACATTTCCACTGCCCTGTTTCTCCTAGGGTCTGCAGTTACCTTAGCAAACTTGCCTCTCACTTTATAGGAATTTGTCTCCATAATGATTTAGTTCAGTGGTTTCTTTCTCATACCATTACAGCTGGGGAGACATTTCATTATGCTGGGAAGTTTCTGAAACTGCAATGTAATTAATTCCTTTAATAGGCTCCTCTTTAGGGAAGGCCCATTAGTAGACATCACTATGAATTAACATCTTAGTTCAGGAGAAAAGCTCTTTGGAGGCAACAGTGAAACAGATAAATCTTTGTTGAGAGATGTGACCAGGGAACTTAACCACATTCCTTGTGGTTTCAGAATGACATGCATATTCTGGGACCCATAGATAGGCAGAGATAGCTGTCATTCTCAGTAATGCCCTGACCACACCAGTTCTTTAACATAAAGAGAGAGTTCTAAGTGTTATAATTTCTTAGAAGAGAGCAGTGTGGCTGGTGTGCACGTTGAAGGCAAGGGAATGAAACTCTGCCTGCTTGACTCACTAACACCCATGAAGAAAGGCTCCCAGCCATTTAAAGCACACTTGAAGGCTGCTGGACAAACCCATTATATGTTAACCTACTAAGGATTTTTTTTCTCCCTTGATCATGTTAAATAGTAATGAAGTCTTTATGTTGGAGTTTGAATATTTTCTTGATTATTTTCACATATGGTCTCTGGAAACAGATAGCTTTGGGTTCAGAATTCTGGCTCTGCTATTTATTAACTGTGTAACCTTGGGTAAGTGATATAACATCTCTGTATCTTAGATATCTCCTCTGAAATTGAGATAAGAGCAGTTTGTACCTGCCTCCTTTGGTTGTGAAGAGGATTAGATGAATGAGCACATGTCCATGCTTGGTAAAGGGCCGGGCCCAGAGTAAGCACCCTTGAAGTTGACTGATGCTATGATTAGCTCTGTGGAGTGGAGGTCCCACCACGCCACGTAGGCCTGAAACACGGAAGCCGAAAAACTCTGACAAAGCAGAGGAGTGGGTGTGTGGGCCTGGGGAGGGGCACTGGCTACAAAGGGACATGAGGGAACTTCCGGGGGTGACAGAAATGCTCTATATCTTGATTGTGGTGGCGGTTACCCTGGTGTAAGCTTTAGAAAAAGCCACTCAAACAATTATTTCCCTGATTACCCCCCTTAATATACCAGTCCTGGCCCCAATCACTTTACATCTGGGCTAATGCAGAAGTCTCCTGGTCGATTTCCTGTCTCTGAGCTCTTTCTTCTCTAATTTCTCCTTAGCGTGTCCACGCTTACCCTGACTTCAGGGGCCATGTCAACAAACATGCCTAGAGCAGCGTATGTTACCATTTGTTTAAAAAAGAGGGAAAGAAATGAATGTGCATATGCTAGTGTGTTTACTTATGTATGCCTAAAATAGCTCTGGAAAGATCTATAAGAAGGAGGCTATGTTAGTTACTTACAGGGAGGGGACCTGGGTGGCTAGGGACGGGGTGGGGGGGGGCGGGGGGGACGGATGTTTTTCACTATATAGCCTTTTGTTCCTTTTGAATTTTAAATCATGTGAATGTATTACCTAATCAAAAATAAATAAATAAAATGTAGGAAATAATAAGAACCCTGCCAAGTTCATCTATTCATTCAATAAATATTTACTGGGCATCTACCACTTGCCAGGCATACAGCAGGGTTATGGCGTCCACAGCTGTGATTGTGTTTCATCAGTGGGATCCTTCATAAACTGTGCGTCACAGGCCCTGTCTGCTTGTTTAGCTTTAAAGCTTGCTTACAGGAGATAGAAAGTGCACTGGTTAATTACAATGGCCATGACTGGCATATGATTTAGGAAAAAGCAAGGTCAGGGTCAATTATGCTACAAAGGACCTTCTTCCACATTCTGAAAAGACGTAAAAACTGTAGAGAGGCAAGGGTATCAGATAATACCTCATAACTAACATGTATTGAGCATTAACTTTCTATGTGCCAGGCATTCTTCTAAGGGCTTTCCCTGTGCTAACTCATCTAGTTCTCACAATAACTGTGAGGAAGACACTATTATGGCCCCCATTTTACAGATGAGGAAACTGAAGTACAGAGAGAGCGAATAACTCACCCAGAGTCACACAGCTAGTAAGGAGGCTGGCTGGGTTTGAACCCAGGAAATGTCTAACTCCAGAACCCTTAGTTTTAACCACTTCACTCTACTGCCTTTTGGGAAAAGGATTTATAGAATGTTCCTTTGCTCCAAAATATCTCTGTTGAAATTCTACCATTAATAAAAGTGTCACAGAATTTTACAGCTAGAAGAGACCTCAGTATTCATTTGATTCAATTGTTATCCAAAGGGAAAACATCCTGGACAACTCAACTTGAACACCTCTAGTGACGGGGAACTCATTACAGCCAGAAGTAGGCACCAGCTGACAGCTCTAATTGCTAACAAAAACATTAAAATGATGATCGCCGGGGACAGCCTGGTAACATAGTAGTTAAGTTTGCGTGCTCCACTACGGCAGCCTGGGGTTCGCTGGTTTGGATCCTGGGTGCGGACCTACATACCATTCATCAAGTCACGCTGTGGCAGCATCCCACATAGAAGAACTAGAAGGACTTACAACTATGATATACAACTATGTACTGGGAATTTGGGGAGGAAAAAAAGGAAGATTGGCAACAAATGTTAGCTCAGGGCCAATCCTCCTCAACAACAACAACAACAAAGATTTAGAATGTTGGATTGCCTTCCATGTGCCAGACTTTGCTAGAGCATGGGGGAGAAATTCTTCAATATGTTGAGTCCGAATCTGCCTCCCTGCAATTTCTTCCCACTGGATCTGTGTTCTGCTCTTTGGAACAACACAAATAATGTCTGTGGTTCCCTGCAATTCATGACAGTCCCACATATACTGGAAGACAGCTATAAAGTTCTTAGAAGTTCTTTTTCCCTGTTTATTTAATCTCCTCGCCTATCATATTCCCTAGGTGAGATTCATTTTTCTTATGAACAAGCTTCTGTTTTAAAATACAAATGTGGGAGGGCAGCACATTAAGCTTAATCTGATGCTTCCCTTCCATCAAACTGTCTTGAGGGAAAGGGAGTTTTGATTTGAGGAAAGGAGTGGGGAGGGTGCTCAGAACAGAGGCAATCAGGAACGTGGTTCAAGTGCTGGCCCAGGCTTGGAGAGGGTGTTGACGCAGGCTCTTTGGGTAATGAAAAAGCAGCACAGGAATCCTGAGCTCCTGCGACTATGGAAGACGACATGCCAAGAGTTAAAAAATAGCAATAATGATGAACATCTGTTGGGCACTGACTATGTGCATGCTGGGCAGTTTGAATTGCCTCGCTTAATCCTCACATCAGTGTTACTAGGTAGGTACCATGATTATCCATGTGTTACAGATGGAGTAAACGAAGGGCTAGAGAATTTCTGACTTGTCTGGAAAATGGCAGTCAGGTTTTGAAGCCAGTGGCCTAGGCTTTTCTTAATTACCTCGCTAAAAGGAAGATGAAAACCTAACTTTGTCCTCTTGTCCTAGAGCCAATTAGTAATTATCCAAATGGAACCTAGATGCCCCAGACTTCTCCAGCCCTCAGGCGTCCTGCAATATCCAAATAATGACCCACCAAAGGCCACTCTTCTACCAGGTTTCTCTAAGTATTTGGGTCCCTAGGTCCCTAAGGAATGTTCCATGCTCCACCAGTCTGTCTTTGATCTTTTTGGCTGTCTCAATCAGCCTACCTCTCCACTCCTCCCATGGGGAAATTCTTGTACTGCTCAAACTCATGGCACAGTTAAGACCAGACTAAAATGTTTAATGAGACTTTTCCCCCAGGGTCCCCCATTGAGCAAATCTCACGTGCAACTTCCAGCCAGGCTGCAGGGATCAGGTTAACACCCGCCTCCACTCCCCACCCCGTCTGCTAGCAGTCCTTGTGAGCCCACCGCCTCCTACAAGAGTCAGTCTCAACAACTGTGACACTCCCAGAAGGTAACACCCTATTTGCAGAAATGCAGTGCACGCAAGGAGAAGTTACATGAGCAGACTTAATACCTCAAGTCTCTCCATCTCTGGATAGGATCTTGGCTTTACCATTATATAACCAAAGGGCTCATTAACTGAGGCCCTCAATGGTGCCCTCATCCTCTACAGAAACTAAAAACTGCATAGCAAGTCTCAGCCAGGGCCTCATTAGACAAACACACAATCATACTTAAGATATTACTTTTTTTCCCAATATGAACTAATAATTTCCAAAGAGGACGCATTTGGGACAAACGAAGGCACTTTCTCACTTGTATAGAATCTAGAATAGTATAGTGGGAGGACCTCGCCTTAACTCTTACAAGCACAGTGTGTTAAGTCTCACTTTATCATCTGGATCCTCCTTCTGAATGATGATGCTTATAACTGAGAATTCTTTTTACTGTAAGAATCTGTGGAAATCTCTAAAGATCCAATACTGTTGGGTTTGAAACCATAAATTAACAATTTTAAGATGTGTTAAAAACTGGCTTTAATGGTTAGTATTATTTTAAAAACACATCCACAACTTTGAACTTGTGTGAGTACAACTTTGACACTGATGAACATTTCCAGCCTCTTCCTGGAAGGGGTGAGCTGGAGAATGAAAGAACCCAGACACCAGTGGGACCTGCGAGAGGGGAAATGAAGATGCAGTTTCGGTGCCTGGCTTCAAAGGCTGGCGGCAATCAAGAGCCTAACCCATCTCTTTCCAGCTAGACCAACTTTCTGTAAAGACAGAAAAACCCCAACCAGCCAAAGTCAAATTTCCCCTGCATGATTTTTAATTTAACAATGTCCCAGTTTCCAAGCTATCGTCATCTGATCTTTGTAGTCATACCGATGAACAAGCACAGTCAGGGTTAGGGAATGGCTAGTGTGGCACAGCTCAGGCTCCTCAGCTTGGGGTCAAGTTTTCACTCTTTTCACTGAAGTTCCAGCTCCTTCATGAACTTGTGTTTACTCATTCTATTACTATTAAGGACAGAAATGAATAGACTAGAGAAAGGACTTTTTTCCTCCTAATGAATCATTCAGTAAACAGAATTGGATACCCTCCAATCTTGATGGCTGGTTGCATCTATGAGCTCTGCTGTGTAAAATCAGCTAGTTCACATTTTCACGGTTCTCAGATCCTCTTGTTAACAGATCTCCTTCCCAGTGTGCCCAGCCAAGAGCATAGGCCCGGTAACTTTTTTCTGCTGCCTCACACACACACTGCATCAGACATACACATTCCACCTACTGGCATTGATAAAAGACTGTTCTGTTGGGGGAGAGGGGTATTGAGACAATAAAATCACTATGGAAAATTTCTAGACAGATTCAGATACTAGACTTTGACGTAGAGGATCTATCAAACTTGGGCTAAGTTTACGTAAATTATAAATATAGATTGAGAGCTAAATTTCTCTTTTAAACAAAATGGGTCCTTCTGAAATCCAGAGTGACTAATTACTCCATATAACTAATTTGCTTTGAGAGTCAAAGACTCCTAGAGTCTTTGTAAAGCTCCTTTATGTTCAGACACTGGTAGTGAAGGTATGCTCACTCCCTTACGAGGCATCCTGATTTCAAAAGTTTGACAGCCTGAGAAGGTAAAAAGTTCCTCCTTATCCTGAGCCAAAATGACCTCCTGTAGCTTTCACCAATTTGGTCTTAGATCTACCCTCTAGAGAGACACAAAATAAACCTAATCCCTCTACTAGACAGCTAATCTCTTTATATGATTCTCTTAAAAGAAATTGTGGTGACTCAGGCTACAATTCTATCAAGGATATAATAAACCCAATGCCTTTCCCCTCTTTTCCCTTTCAGTGGCAGAACAAGCTTATGTGAGTATACTCAATATGCTGGGAGAAGAGAAAATGTTCCTTCCCAGCAGGCCCTGGTACTACAGCCCAATTCAAGACCCCAGTTTGTAGGCTGCCTATGGCAGTCAGAGATGGATCAGAGTCTGACAAAGGGCAGTGCTGGACAGGCAGGCTCCGTCAGATTTTCCTTTCTGTTACAGTAACACACAGCCTTCTGCTGGCTTAAGTGCATGTCTGGCCCCAGAGATTCTCCTCTTAGTCTGGCCCAGAAGTCCAGAGTTCTCAAACTTTTGTGTGCATTAGAATCCAGGGAGTTTTACACAGGGCTCCACCCCTGAGATTTTGGTTTAGTAGAAATGAGGCAGGCCCAGTAATCTGTATTTTAACAAGCAGTCCAGGTGCTGATGTCCTTACTACACTTGGAGAAACACTGATCTAAGTGAAGAAAAAAAGACAAGCAAAAAAATACCTTGCATTTTGGTTTATTTAACCAGAAAGCACACACACTTAACATTTAACATATTGGTCCTATCCATTTAAATTAAATTATTAAATTCCATGTTATATAAATGACAAAAATAACACTTTTAAGTCATTTACTATTCATCTGATACTAATCAATGTCTATAAAAACTCTTCCAGAATAAGGAGGGGACTAGTAACATCATTTTCAGGTTACAGACTGATAAACTGAAATGCTTGGTGGGAAGCATTCAACATTGGTCTTAAGATGGGAGCCAGGCCCCCCGCACTGCAGCCTATTTCCCAGTCTCAGGTTTGCCAACAGAACAGGGCCAAGGGCCAGATTTGAGGAACTTTACAGGGAGAGTACATTTTGGCTTAACACTTAGCTGATCAACTTCGTGATTGAAGTTAACACAAAAATCACACTTAGATAAGCACCACCACAAACATCCTATGTAATTCTCTGACAATTCTAATAAAGCTATAGAGGGATTCCAGTACACAGGTTACAACAAGTTAAAACATTTCACAGTAGTCTAAATACCTGGGGAGTTTAATTATGCAAAGAGAACCCTTCTCTCCTTTGAGAACAACAGCTTATTTCTTCTCAAAATAGTTACTGTGGTTCTTTTACAAATATAAAGAGTGTCTCATCTCTAATTCAGCCTTGAAGTAATGCTATCCCAAGGCAGCCCTGGCACTTCTTTTCCCTGTGGCAAGGTGACCCCATGTCCTACCTGGTAATTCAGCACTTAGTAAATTGACTAAAAAAGTTGAGCAACAAATTTAGTAAAAGGTTTTGGTGATAGAAACTTACTTTCCTACTAAGCCACTTCATGCATGTTTGTTGCAAAATAAAATCATTTTAGAATAAATGTAACAGAGGCATCTAACTTTCACTTTCTGTCAGGGATGAAGACTTTCACTGGTTCGCTGACCTTCCTCTTCTTCCTGGAGCTCTCAGAACTTTGCTGACTGCACATAAAATCCATTCTTTGAATCTGTGAGAATCACCAGAGAGAGGCACAATTCAGCAGGGATTTTGACATCTGCGCAAGGCATATACAAGATAGGTAGGCCAAGCATTAATCCCACCAGCCGTATAACGGATCCAAACCTGCTTTCCTGTGGGCGGTTTGGCCCTGCACAGAGGCCCTCCTGCCAGTATCAGAGGCCGGTATTCCAAGTTTCAGGAGCTGATGTCCCCTGGAGGCAGCCAGTTTCAGGGACAGCTTCCTGGCTCTCTTTAGTGAATTCAGCACATTCAACTCTTGAGGGAAGAGTTGTCAAGGCGTGGGGCCAACAAGGAACAATTAAGGGTCAGAAGAGATCTAGGCACTAATTGCTTTAGAGGCAAATAGAATTTAAGTCCCAATTTCAATTAGCAGAAACATACAGCCTTATCTTTTCTATCATAGGTTCACATTTATGAATTAGGAAGGACCATCGACATTCTTTCTGCTTGAAGAAAAGTATATGTTATTGATTAAAGGGAAGTTGATTAGTGAATCATCATATATATACATTTCTCCATTAGGCTCAGCTTTGGCAACGATTTTAGAACTTACTTTTGCTTAACTGAGTGAACAACTAGATGTATTATAATCTGTCAGACAATCCCTAATGCTTGGAATTCCAAGAAACACAGAGGACATTTTTATATTTTCCAGCCACTAGATGGGAGGAAAGGTTTTTCTATGTCCTCTGTTCTTTCTTTGGTAGGAAAATGGACTGAGATATATATTTTTAAGCAAGACTTAGAACATTTAGTAGAGGTTCCAACATTACCCTTTTTCCTTTTGCTATAGATACAGATTATTATTATTGATATGTTATTATTTCAAAATAGTGGGAATGTCAATAAAGCACTTAAACACCATTTAGAACCAAAAATTGGATCTGCAAATGGCTAATGTAATCACTAATTTTTCTTTTAGTTTTAGAAAGCAGTTGAATTTCTGATCTCAGAAACCGTAAATTCCTTTTGGCTTAAACTAAGACACGGACTATATAGAACAGTAAAACTCTGAGAAAATAAGTGGAGCTGCTCATCAAATAACTGGTGTACTTAGGTATGTAAAAGTTTGAAGCGATCTGCTCAAAAGCTAAGGAAATAGCAATATAAAAACCCAAAGCACAAAAACCAACTTCTTTATCTAGGAAATGAATGTGTTACAGTATGGCTGTAAGAAAAAGCACTTGGTAAAATCCAGCTTTTCTAGAAATGTTGCTTGGGCATGCTTTCCATTCAAACAAAATTATCCTCACTTCTATCAAGTCTGGGTACACTGGGAAGAAGAGAAGATGGATGTACAAATCCTCAAATGAGAAGTTGGCCTGATGGTTTAATAGTTTTGTTGTCTTTTTCTTCTTTGCTCAAGTAAACCAGGGTCTTATTACGAGTTTCAGAACTTACTGTAATTTTATTGCAGTAAGTTAATCAAAACATGTTTAATAATGTATACAATCTCAAGGAAACCAGCGAGGCCTGGGAACTCTTGATGGTTTATAGAAAACTAGTGGGTTCAAAAGCAAGCATGTGATCAGTCAGGGGACACTTCCTGACATAGATGAATAATCTATATAAACTATATAAACCATACAAAGGAACATTTGAGAAACACTATTCAGGTGTATTCCAACTGGCTGAGTTTGCATATTTGATGCCAAAGCCAACTAGGCAAGCAAAGTACCAGCAATCAGGCAGGCTAGAAAAATCTATGATTTGAGCAACATCAAATGATCATCAAATGATTTCTAATGCTTCTTATATTATATTTTAAACTGATAGCTTTTAAAATGTTTCTTGAATATAGACTAATAAGAGGCTACTATGATTCACTTACTACTAGAGCCTCAGGAATAGAGTATCTCCATCTATGTCTGATAAAAGCCCTGAATATATGCTTTCTGCTGGATGATATTTCCCTCCTTTCTATTTTTGGTTTGGTAACAAATTCTCCATTTGAGAAGCCAAAGAGAAGGTTTTGCCTTAAGCACAGATAGGATCGCTGGCTGACTTGGTAGCAGTATTTGAACAGCACTGGAAGGGGTCCCTTCTTCTAAATGAGTCCTTTTATCATTAATTCCTCTATTCATCCATTTAAAAAAACATCTTGAATGTTCTCCAAGAGTTCTGTCTTTGACCATCTTTTCTCCTTATTCTCCACACTCTCTCTGAGTGATCTCATCCACTCCTAGGAATCAGTTACCATTTATAAGCAAAGACCCCCCACATTGATATATTCAGCCTAGATTTTCCTTTTGAACTCCAGATCCATGTGTGTAATCAACTGCCTACTAAAAGTCTCCACATGGTTGTTCCAAAGAAAACTCAAAAGCAGTGTGTCGAGAATTGGAATTTATCATCTGCCTCTGTCAGGCTACTCCCAATCTTTGTTCTCATTCTTGTCATTACCCTGGAGGTGTCCAAGTTAAAAACCTGGGAGTCATCCATGGCAACTCCATCATTCTCACCCTAACATCTAACTAATCACTAATTTCTGTTGATCCATACCTCCTTAATATCTCTCAAATCCATCCATTTTTCTCTAATGCCATTGTCTCTACTTTAGCCCAGGCCAACATCATCTTTCCCAATTATTGGGCCTTGAACTTCCACTATTACTGCTTTTCCAACCTTTTCTCCACTCTGGAGCCTAAGTAGTCTTCTATGTAAATCTGACCACATCACTCTTCTGATTCATCAACTATCCATTAATGACTTCCCATTGTCTTCAGGATAAAGGCCAGGTTCTTTATGGCTGTGGCCCATCTCTGCAGCTTCATCTTGCCTCAGACTTACTTAACCAATTGCATTCTCCAAATGGGCCCTGCTTGCTCCCCTCTGGACTTTGCCTTTAATGCCCACTCCCATGCTCTGCTCCTCCCTTCATCTCCAGGCCCAGGGTCCACGCTGGGGTTTCCTCTGCCTACTGGCCTTCTCTGACACCCCTAGGGCTGTGTTCTGTTCTTACATCTTTTGTAGCATTTACTACATGGTGTTATCAGGCCTACTTACCAGTCTTCTCATCTAGAGTACAAACTCCTTGAGGTTAGTGACAATATCTTAGTCATCTTTGCATTCCCAGTTCCTGGCATCTGGTAGGTGCCTCTTAAATTATTGGCTGAATGAATGAATCCGTTTTGATACTGATTTTAAGCCAGGCACTGCTCTGGGTACTAGTACCATATCTCTAGTAATATAAAGATGAATAAGACACAGTCGTTTTCAAGGATTGAGTCTTGTAAGGAAAGGCATTAAGCACACAATTACAATATAATGTAATACAACATAATTGACATCCATTCAATAGCCACAATAGACTTTCATTCACTCAGCAATTATTTATCGAGTGTCAGCTCTATGCATGATACTTTTCTAGGTGCTTGGGACACATTAATGAACAAAAGAGATAAGAATCCTGCCCTATAGATTTTACAATCTGGCCGTGTTACTTTTTGGCTTAATAATATCCAATGGCATCTTACTGCTTTTAGGAAAAAGTCCAAAGTCCTTACCTTGGCTTTTCATGCACTGTCAGGGGTTCTTTACATTTCTAGGGAAGGAGAGGGCTCACAGATTGGCTATAAGACCCTGATGAAAGCCAAGCACTCTCTCCTCAGAAAAATGCTCATATCTCCACTCACATACTCACCCACTGTAGCAGGCCATTTGAGGAGGCTCCTAGGCCTCCTGAGTTCTTCCCAATAGAGTCACTACCCCACAGGGCCTGTCTGTGCCCAGCAGTACCAGCCTCATCTCCTGTGCTCTACTCTCACTCTCTGCCCTCTCAGTTTTCTCATACCTTGCTTCTTCCTGATTCCGGATCTCTGCATATTATGTTCCTTCTGCCTAAAATGCTCTTTCCCTTCCACCAGCCCTCTCTTGGCCTAGTTAATCCTATTCATTCTTCAGATCTTAGATGAAAAATTATTTCCTCAAAGAAAGTTACCCTACTTCTGTTCCAATTAAATTAGGTCCCCCAATCACATGCTCTTAATAGAGTTCCAGGAGATCAGGAACATGCCTGTCTTGGTCACAACTTGCACATAGTAGGGGCTCAATAAATGTTTTTTTGACGAACAAATGAAGGACTCTTCAAAGAGCACTCTGCCTGCAGTGTAGAAATGTATTGGAGGCATCAAGTGGATGCAGGGTGATGAGTCACGCTATTGTAGTAGTCAGGTGATAACTTGAGTGGCAGTGTAGACGGAAAAAAGTTAACAGTGAGAAAAATATTTAGAAGGTAGAGTCAGAAGGATGGGCAATTGGATATGATGATAAAGGAGAGGTAGATAGGTCAATAATAACTCCCAGTTTCTGGTTTAGCTAACTTCATGGATGAAGGTTCTATTCTCTCAGGTAGAGAACAATTGGAATTTTGAACCTGCTGAGTACCTGTGAAACCCCAAGTGGACATATTGAATAGGTAGCTGTATATGGAAGTCTGGAGCTCAGGAGAGAGGTCTGATTGGAGATATAAACTTGAGAGTCATCAGCATATGGAGGTTAATTAAGGCCATGGGTGTGGAAGAGTTTGCTTATTGAGAGATCAGAGCGTGAGAAGGGAAAGGGGCCAGGACACAGCCTTAAGCAACTCCAACATTTAGAAATTAAGTGAAAGATGAGCCAACAAAGGAGATTGAGAAAGAGAGAGAAAAGACCAGCAAATTGTCATGTAAAGAAAGCCACAGGAAGAAAGTTTTAAGAAGAGGGAGGGGAGAATAAAAAGGAGTGATGGTGGTAGTCAATAGTGTCAGGTGTTGCTGAGAGGTCAAGGAAGATGAAGACTGAAACATGGCCACTTGATTTAGCTACATGGAGGCTATCAGGTGCATTGGACTGGTGGAGGCAGAAGTCACGGTGAAGTCAGTTGAAGAGTGCATAAAAAATAAAAGAAATTGAGAGAGCAAGTATACAAAGTTTTATAAAAGTCAAGAGGGAGTGACCACTACAACCTGGAGAATTTAGAGAAGGCTTCTTAGCAGAAGAGGAACATTGAGCTGGGTCTTGTAGAATGAGTAGGAGTTCACCAGACTGGAGATGGTGGTAGGGGTGATGGCGGTGGACGAGGTCATTCTGGGCAGAAGATTCAGCTCATTTAAAGACACTGAATCATGAAACGACATGGAAGGTACCTGTGACAGTGAGAAATGTCCCTTTAATAGACTGGCTCTTAGGGTTAGGTGTTATGTATACAACATACTTCTGTTAAAAATGTAAATTCCCCCAGAATTATTACTCAGTATGTAATTAGTACAAATTAACTTATCAAATGGTGTCCAAGTGGCAGCCTGCTAAAAGCAGGGCCTCAGAGGCTTTGGAAAGAAGACAGATACGTGTGATATAGAAAAAGCAGTTCAGGGCACAGTACTCACTTTGTGGGGAACCAAGGGGAGGGGCAGCCCCAGACAACCAGGAAATCTTATAAGTACTTTACTAGCCTGGGGTGAGAGTACAGTGAATTTTGCTTACTTCAAAATTATTTGTCAGGTGAGATTTGGCAAAATGTTTTCTCCTTAGAAAACCAGTCCTTACCAATATAAATTTATAATCAAGCGTTAAGTATGGAATCTTTGGATTTGGAAGTTCCCAGATCAAGGAATTTTTTGGTTCACAGAGGGTCTGTGCCCCTATAAGTGAGTTATAGCTGTGATTTTAGTTTTGATTCCTCTCCCTTAACATTTACCTTTTCTGCACAATGAAAGGTAGATCAACAGCGATTATAAGATAAATGCTATTAGCATAAATGTAGCTCATGTTGACATTGTGATGAATGAGCAGTAAGAAACCAAATGCTTAAAGAGAACTCTTACCTCCAACACCAGTGGAGCTGTGAGCTCTCTGATATGTTGGGAACTGTCTCACGTTTTACTGGAATTTATGAAGAATTTTCTCATTCATTTACTTTCTTGACTTTCTGTAGTTTATGACCAGGGTTCTGGACCACAGCTATTTCTATTTAGGAGGTAAATACATATTCTCCTTAGAGTCATAACCAGATATTTCCATTAATCTCCAAAAATTATTATATTAGTTCTCCTTCCTTCCATATTCTCTAAGGCATTGTATGCCCTTAAAAGTTCTATAATTAATTCATTTATTCAACAAATGTTTTTGAGCACCTTCTCTGTGCCAGACATTGAGCTAAGCACTAAAGATAAAAAACTGATGAAGACACACTCAATGTCCTCAAAGAGGGCCTAGCAAGGGAAACAAACTGGTTACAGATGAAATGTCGAGTCATGTATAGGGTACAGCAGGGGTTCCAAAAAGATCTTATCAGCTCTTCCTGAGGAGGCCTGGCAAGGGTTCAAAGGGGATGTGAAGCTTAAACTAAATAGTGCAAGATGAGCAGACATTCACCAGGCAGACGGCATTAGGAATTGACGTTGCAGAGAGAACAGTCTAAACAAAAATAGCACAGGTACAGGGACATAAAGCAGGGTACCTCTGGAGAATTGGGAATGGTTCAATGGGACTAACAGGAAGGGCATGTGGTGGTGGGCTGGGTCAGAGAGTGTCATTCTCTGAAGTTTGGACTTTGTACTTAACGGGGTACCACCAAAGGGGTCTAGGAGCAGATTTGTTTAGAAAGAGCCCTATGGCAGCAGGGTGAAGGGTGGACTGGAGAGGAGTGAGACAAGAAGCAGTGAAGTTACTTAGAAGAAAACTGCTTCAAGAAAGAACAAGAGCAGCAGTGATGTTAGAGAGGAGAGGACTAATAGGGCAGAGGGCTGAGGAGAGAGAGAATGAATGCCTGAACCTGAACCCTAAGGTGACTTGATCACTAATTGCAACGAGCATAGGGATGGCAAAGGAAAGAAAGGAGTAAAAAATGACAAAGATTATCCAAGTTTCTGGTAATGCCATTGACCAATGTGGGAAATAGAGGAAACTGAGGAGGTGGGGAGTGGGAACACGTGGCGAGGACACACGGAGAAATAACTGACTCCATTTTCCAGAATCTGAATTGGAGGTGAACTATCCAAATGAAGATGTCCACCAGGGCACTGCCTATGTGACGGAAGCTCAGAATGGAGGAAATTACATCAAGAAGGAAGGAAGTATTCCTTTGGACATATAGAAGGAAGTATTCACTTTGGACAAAAGATGGGCTATTACTTGAGGTCTAGAAGGAAGCAGGTCAAAGTGGTTATAGATATAGGCACATCTTTAAATATGGGGGCAGGAAATTGAATGATTCACACTTCACAGCCTTAACTGTTTCTATGAAGTAGAGTTTAGGTCATCTGCTTAGAAAGTGAGGGAATTGGTCTCGGATGGTGCTTAAGACACTTATGTGGTTAAAGTATGGACAACGGGAAAGGGAGCTAATAATTGACCTTTAAAACGAAGGGTAACTGTTGCTTAGTATCCAGATAGCTTTAAGAAATATCTTCAAATTAAGATACGTCTTCAAATTAAAATACTTATGTTTGACATATTAAAAATTTTGCTCTTCTTTTTACAAACATTTGACTGCTTACAACAGGCCACATCTGTGCTAAGAACATCACAAGTGTTACCTCATTTATTCCTCACAATAATTGCGTGAGGGCCAGGAGGAAGTTTTTATTCCTTTTTTACAGATATAGAAACTGAAGCACAGAGAAGTGAAATGACTTGTCCAGTTCACATATTTATTAAGTGGAAGTCTTGAATCCACATCTCCTAATTTCAAATTTAGTGCTCCTTATAATTTGCTTCTTCAACCCAAAGAGGAAAACAAAGACAGGAAATTGCAGGAGAGGCCATTAGAACTCTTTGTAGGGTTCATAGGCTTCTATCTGGGATTGACCCTTTTTGGGGCATAGTTTACCAGGATCTCAAACTAAACACAGCCAAAGGCTGAGTTCATTGTTTTTCCTTTGTAACATATTTTTCCTTATGACTTTTAATTTCTGTTAATCACTATTTCCCAGTCATCAAAAGTGGAAAACATGGTTACCTCAGATTCCTCTCTCATCTCCTAATGCCCACAGAGTTCTTGTAATGAGTAAATGGAATAGCACAGATACAGTACCTGGTACATCTCACATGTGCAAGTCATTCAGTGACTGATGGCTGTTATTTTTCCTACTACTACAGGTATCCCTTCCCCAGCCAAACCGAATCCTTGTGGTAGGCTGAAAAATGGGCCCCCAAAAGATGTCCACGTCCTAATCCCTGGAACCTATGAATGTTACTTCATGTGGCAAAAACAGAGGGGGAGGTCATTGCAGATGTGATTAAGGACCTTGAGATGGAGAGATTATCCTGGATTATCAAGGTAGACCCTACATGTGCTCATGTGTATTCTTATAAGAGGGAAGCAGAGGGAAATTTGAACACATGCAGAAGAGAAGAAGACAATGTGACCACTGAGACAGCGACTAGAGTGATGTGGCCACAAGCCAAGGAAGGCCCGCAGCCCCCAGAAGCTGGAAGAGGCAAAGAACAGAATCTCCCCTAGAGCCTCCAGAGGGAACACGGTTCTGCCGACACCTTGATTTCAGCCCAGTGACACTGACTTGGTACTTCTGGCCTCTAGTGAGAGAATACATTTCTGATGTTTTAAGCCACCAAATTTGTGGCAATTTGTCACAGCAGCCCTAGGAAACTAATAACAGTTACATTCCCCAAACATACCTCACTCTTTTTCTTCTTCTCTATTTCCTTTGCATTTCAAAAATAAAAATATTCTATTACTGTCTTTTAAATTTTGAATAATTCCTTCAAGGTCAATCTTTAAAAGTATTTCATCCACAAAGCATTTCCTGCTCCTTTAAGCTGATATGAGCCTTCTTTCTTGAGCAAATCCCCACAGCAGGTTTTTGTAATTATGTTTTTCTGACAGCGTAAATATTTGTAAACAATTTGTCCTTTATCTGGGACTGGGTTTTAAGTTCTTTAGGAATAATTTATATTAACATTATGCTCTTTAGGCTCTCTGCAATGCCTTACACAGTGTCTTTCACACGGTAGATATCAACGATTCTTTTGCTACCCACTTTTACTACCTACAAAAGTGTTCAATTACACAGTTATTCACATATCCTAAAGCTTCACTGTGTATTACAGTAGTCATTAGCCACATGTGACTATTTAAATTTAAAATAATCAAAATTAAATAAAATTCAGTTCCTCAGTTGCATTAGCCACATTTCAAGTGTTCAACAGCCACACGTGAGTGTTCAATTCAAATGTTCACATATTAGACATCACAGATATAGAACATTTTCATCATCACAGAAAATTCTTTTGGACAGAACTGCTTTATAGAGGCAATCTGGGTTTAATCCCTGTAAACAGAAAGTTTCCTAGGGACTATGGTAACAATAGGAATACAGAAACTAGAAATAATTTTTCCTCAAAATGCAAAGACATTACTGTAAAAATGTCAGTTTTCCCAAGATTATTTTATCAAGTCAATGCAATCCCAATCAAAATTCCAACAATATGGGGGCTGGCCCCGTGGCCGAGTGGTTAAGTTCGTGCGCTCTGCTGCAGGCGGGCCAGTGTTTCGTCAGTTCGAATCCTGGGCGCGGACATGGCACTGCTCATCAGACCACGCTGAGGCAGCGTCCCACATGCCACAACTAGAAGAACCCACAACGAAGAATACACAACTATGTACTGGGGGGCTTTGGGGAGAAAAAGGAAAAAATAAAAAATCTTAAATAAAAAAAAAAAAAAAAAATTCCAACAATATGTCTGTTGGAAATTATTCAGCTGATTATAATAGTCACCTAAAAAAGAAATGTACAGGAAAATCTTAAAAATACTGAAAAAGAAGAACTATGAGGGGAAAAGAGTTGCCCTTCCAGACAGGAACACATAATATAAAGCTAGAGTAATTAAAACATGATAGCAGTAATATAGAAGTAGACATATGGATCAATGAAAAAGAACAGCAGGTTGAAAAACTGGCATAAAAACAAACCTATGTATCTATGATTTTTAATTTATGAAAAAGTGACATTCAAATTAGCAGGGAAAGGACAGACAATTCAAGTGCTACCAACACAATGGGAAATTTTTCACACACTAGAAAAAAAAAGAATCCCAACTAGCAAATGTAAAAAGCAAGACTACAAACTTATTAGAAGAAACATAGAAAAAATTTGTTTATAACTTTAGCAGTGGGAAGACCTCCTTCAGCAAGATATAAAATGATAACCCTTGGAAAGACGTCCCATGTTCCTAAA